GAGCAAGATGACCTTGAGTCAGGTCAAAGGTCATCAAAAACACCCCAAAACCTACAACGCTGGCTGCAGACAACCTAACGCTCCAAGCCCATGACACCGATCAGCATAAAACCTTCATTAATCGATGCACCATGGCCGACATCCTATCCTGTCCAAAACGTGGTGATCTTGGGTTGGGTCAAATGTCACCAAAAACGCCCCAAACCACCTGAAACTAGTCTGCAGACAACCCCACGCTCCGAGTCTCTGGGACTGATCGACACCAAACCCTCACCAATCGATGCGCCCTAGTCGATGTACTATCGTTCCAGAACATGGTGACCTTGAGGCAGATCAAAGGTCAACAAAAATGGCCAGGCCCACCAAAATTGGCTTCAAGCAGCCCCAATGCCCCGAGCTTATGGCACCGGTCAGCACAAAACCTTCACCGAGCGACGCGCCATAGTCGTTATCCTATCCTTTCGAGAACATGTTCACCTTGAGTCAGGTTGAAGATCACAAAAAATGGCCCGCACCACCACAATTGCTGCAGACAACCTCCTGCTCCAAGCATATGACACCCATATACATTAAACCTTCACCAATCGACGCGCCATTATCGACAGGTTATCGATTTTGGCACATTGATTGGTAAGGGTTTGTTGCCAAACTGTCCCAAAGGCCCAGAGCATGGAGTTGTCTGCAAATTAATTTCGGGTGGGTTTGGCCATTTTCGGTGACCTTTTACGAGACCTAAGGTTACCATTTTATGGACAGGATTGGATGCCGGCTACGGCGCATCAATTTATAAAGTTTGCATACTGATCTGTCCCATAGGCTCGGGGCATGGTGTTGTCTGCGGCCATTTTCGTGGTTTTGGGCATTTTTGGTGCGTTTTGACCTGACTCAAGGTCACCATGTTCTGAAAGGGATAGGACAGTGACTATGGTGCATCGACTGTTGAAGATATTAAGCTGATCGCTTCCATAGGTTCGGAACATGGCGCTATCTGTAACCGTATTTTCCGTTTTTATATTTTGTGACTTTTGACCTGACACAAGCTCACCATGTTCTAGAACGGATAGGATATCGACTAAGTGGCATCGAATGGTGAAGGTCTGGCATCGATCGGTTCTATAGGCTCGGAGCCTGGGGCTATCAACAGGTTTGCTCGGCCATTTAGTCCCTCATTTTAACCTGCGCCCGGCCGGAGGGGAGCTGACTTCCCCTGAGATCTCAAACTTCCAGACTTCGTATGCGGAAAACAAAGATATCGTTTTGAACGCATCATCAAATCTGAAGAATGTACACCAATTTTTACCTTGGGTCAAATGTAAAGTCACCCCAGGCCATGACAGGCTAAAAACGGTCGTTCCGACCGATGCAATTACAACCCAACCTACGTTAACACGTCGTGACGGATATCAAGGGCGCGGAAATACACCTTACTAATGTAGAGTCCATTCCGACCATTTCTATTCCCCACGTGGATCAGGTCAGATCAGGTCACCATTCAAAACTGCTACACCAGCAGCCTACAAGAACGATGCTTTTCTTCACGATGTGCTTCAGACTAAGTTTATTTTATGGGATGCATCTCTGGAAAAAGGAATTCCAAACACAAAAATACCATTTAAGGGTAACCTAAAGTTCATCTGAGGTCAACTCATGTCAAATTCATAAACCATCCAAACGAAAAATTTGAAGTGCTCACCGGGTCCATGTGACCAGTAGAATGTTTTCATGCGGTCAGAAATACTGTATTGTACATATACAGGTACTTAAGATCACATAGGTGTTGTCTTCATTACACACAGCTCTCTCGACGTTTGGAGACGCATTTATGCCGAATTGAGAACAAGTGCGCTGGTACATGAAAATAGACGTCATCAGCTTCACAGACACGATAAAGAGGTGGTTGCACGCGTCACACTCATTCATCTAGCCTCTCCGCTACTGGTAACAAAGGTCAATAACATTGGATGGCTTTATGTGACCTTTAATTTCCCCATATGATCTACTATGACCTCATTATGCATTAGAATAATAGCAAACAAGGATTCCATTCGAGGATTCGAATTCCGCATCCAAAAATACCCGAAAATTGTCTGCTTTCGGCTCAGCGTGTGTTTTGCAAAAGGTACCAATATAGATAGGTAATGACCTGGGCCAAGGTTATGTGCTGTGTGGTCATATGATAGCTGTGCATGCAAGTTAGCACTCTTTTCATATCCGAACATCAAAAATACACAATAATACGTACAACTTACCTTAAACACGAAAATAATTGCAAAAATTTACCTGACTTCGGGTCACTGACCTAGCAATTTCGGAACAATCTGCAATACACAAATTGTAGGCACTATCATATTATACTACTAAAAGTTTGAACAATGACAAATGAACCACAAAACTGTGCTCGAAGTTTTTTAGAGGTTGACCTCTTTGACCTGGCCTAGGTAACTGATCGTGGCATACCAAAACAAAGCTTCGCAGAAAGGATGCCAAATTGATGGATAAACAGGTATTGATAATTTTGTGTTGCTGCGGTCGTTCACGTTTTGTCTGTACTCGAAAAACCGCACGGGGTTTTAGTCGACTTCCCCGGCCGGGCGTGGGTTTAAGCGCAAGACTGCACTTCAAGACAACAAAATGCCACCATTTCGTGAATATGTACCGTAATACGTCACGGTATGATTATGTGATGGAAAGGTTGTGTAAAAGTCGCTGCCAGATCAGCCGTGGGAGAATTACCACGGAAGCGGAAAGCCTGACTCGCTTGGAGTATTTTAACTCGACAAGAGGTGGCTTGTTAATGGATGCGTGTAAAATAAACGAGTTTTGTTTTGTGTGTCTGTTGGAAACCTTTTTCGTGGTTTTATTGCGCACTTCTCCATGATAGTATGCTTTTTTAACCTGCATTTGCATTTTCGGTTACGATATTATTCCATTTCAGTCATTCGATTTCCAGCCGCATTTCCGTCACAGTGGTGGTGATGTGGTTTTTAAGGGCGCGTCGGCATCAGGGCATTTCCGTCACAACTAACAGAACTGCCCAAATGTGTATTTGAACTATGTATCACAAAAGCGCCGTCCACGTTCGAAACTCGCATTTAAAGCGTCCAACTGGTCGCAAACCAACTGCCGTCCGTTGATGCAACGATGTGTACTGACGTACTTCAGGCATTATTAAGTGAATGGTCATATTTTTCAGTATGCTGAACACAATATCATAAATGAGAAGGCGGAATTCGTGTCACGTTTCTATAACGTCATAATCTCTGGGTGAATTCAAATTGCGCAGCGCTAAATAGGGTACATAAGTTCGCGGGCGCCCAGATCAGAAAGAAAAAAATGTATTAAAAAGTATAACAGTGGACTGCAGGGGATCATTCTGAAAATTGCTATCTCGACCACAGCCCCATACAAATCTGGAACAGTTCATTTAAAGGAAGCATGCCACCTCGTCTGTGCTTTTAACTTTTTCTTAGATCAGGCGTGTCCGACTTGATCCGTGGTGCCAGATCTGCTGATATCTTTGACTACAGTAGCCACTCCGGCGAGAGAAACCTCACTGAGCTCCCTTTGCATCACTAAAAAAATATTGCATTTCATTCGCTTTGCTTTCCCAACATGTGTGTTCCGCAATGTTTCCAATACACTGATTCGTCAAAAGGCTTGTGTTGTCATGGTTAGTTGGGATTTTCGGGCACGCCAACAACAGTGGTCATTAGGCTCCCACCACCAAATTTTTACCCAACTAGCAAACCTGTTTAAATGGCTTTCAAAAAGATCTGTTTAAGAAACGAAGCGAGCTGATTACATTCCAGAAAGCGCGAGTTGTCTCCTAGACTGTCATAGAGCGCCAGAAGCCATGTCTCCTAGACTGTCACAGAGCGTCAGAAGTCATGTCTCCTAGACTGTCACAGAGCGTCAGAAGCCATGTCTCCTAGACTGTCACAGAGCGTCAGACGCCATGTCTCCTAGACTGTCACAGAGCGTCAGAAGCCAGTCGTCCCGTGCAAAGAGACATTGACATTCTTCTACGAGACGCGCACGCGATATAATCACGTGACGAACGGCGAGAACAGCACTACATCGATGGCGGAGATGCACAGTGGTGCCACCTATAGTTACAACGGGAATGGACAGTTTCCCAAAATCATTTAAATGCGCCTCGATATCTGGGTAAATATATATATATATATATATATATATATATATTATATATATATGTATATCAGCACTAGACCATATGCCTTTCGGTAGCAGTTTTCGCTGCTTCAATGCATGCAGTTACTGTGTTTTGCAGGAACAGATTGTAACTTTTCATAGGTCACGTAGACGAGTGATACCTTCGAACACTGTATTCCGTGCCCAACACAATGGTTCGCAATAAAATGAGCTTTGGCGAAACCTTAGCATGAGTCAACCAACCGCGCAGACATCTTATAACGTGACAAAGTCACTCTACATAGATAAAACGAAGGAGAGCCCCCACCGTTTCAGAGGGACAGCGCAAGGCCCCTAGAGATACTTCATGCCCTGAAACGGCGTCTAAAGGGAGCTTCCGGATGATCGCTGACGCCAGGAAACATGTGCATGCGGAAGGTTCTACCCGGCTCGCCCTGGTCCAGCGAACTCAGTGCCGCCATGTCCAGCTCGTCAAGCTGGAAGCTGAAGATGTCTCCGTTCTCACGGATCCGCGTCGCCTTGGTCGACTTGGGGATGACAATGATGTCCTGCTGGGCCAGGAAGCGCAGCAGAACCTGCGCTGCTGTCCGCTTGTGCTTCTGCGCCACCAGGCAAACCACCGGGTTGTTCAGCAGGTCCGGTGGCTCCAATGGTCACACCGTGGCTCTCGTACAGCACCTTGCGGCCGGGGGAGCCAACGGAGCGTACGCTGTGATGGCAATGTTGTGCTTCTTGCACGCCTCGCGCAGTGCACGCTGCTGGAAATAGACGTGACATTCCACCTGGTGCACAGCGGGAGGTATCTCAGCATTGGAGACTATCTTCAGAACTTGCTTGGCGTTGAAGTTGGATACGCCAATCGATTTTGTCAGGCCAAGTTTCACCATCTTTTCCATTTCCTTCCACACGGCGATCAGGTCAGTCGAACAATCTACCAGCAGTTTTCCCATCCTGTGTGGGAAAGACGTCCGTCTCACTTCTCTCCACACACCCGCACGGCGAATGGACAAGGTACAGATCGACGTAGTCGAGACCCAGTAGTTTCAGCGACCTCTTCAGGTATTTCTCCACCTTGCTGACCTGCATGGCGATCATGGGCAGCTTGGTGACCACGAAGAGGTCGCTCCTGGTCATCTTGCCCGACTTCAGGGCGGCCTGGATGCCCTCTCCGACGCCGTCCTCGTTCCGGTAGAAGTACGCGGTGTCGATGTGCCGGTAGCCGGCTAGCAGGGCGGCCTCCACAGCGGCCGCCACCTCCTGGCTCGACGCACGCGAGCAGCCCAGCCCCAACAGCGGCATCCGCTGCCCACTCGAGAGCGTCACCGACGTGTTCATGGTGCGTGGCGGTGCCTCCTCGGTCCGTACCGGCCTAGGCGCGACTGAGCCGCCCCACAACCGGCCGGTGTTGTTTATCGCGGCGGACTTTGACCGACATCTGGGGGCCCGTGGGTCACGCGACTGACCCACTCACGCGACGCGTCATGCAGCAAGTGTAAGCCGCATGCTCTGGCTCACAAATTATACATCCCATGGTCTACAATAAGCATTAGACGTGTAGGAATTCGAGTCGAAGGGAGTTACAAAGTAACGTTTGTTATTAAAGGGAATGATTTCCATTTTAAGATATTGCAGCAAACATTAGATGTCATGAAACAGGCTCACTTATAACTATCGGAATATTTTTTAAGTGGAAAGGACTCTCTGCTTAGTAACTATGCTCCCACAGCGCCATGGTTTGATTATGTCATCGTACCTTGCGCAACAGTAACTGAAAGCCCACTGGCAACCGTTATATTTGGAACTCGCGCTTTAGAACGTTCAATATCAACGGCCACGACAATGATATTTCTTTGGTCTTGATCGCCGTGTGGCTTGTGGAATGGCGGTACTTGAATGACGTAATACTGACGTTTTGAATGCCAGTGGCCTTGAAATGCCATCCCCGGTATACCTTCCACATTTTCGCGGGCGTGTGACTCAGAAACTAGATGGGCTTAGATCTTAAGGACAGGACTGTGAACAGCACCGAAAGGTCTTCAAGATGGCCTTTTCCAGTTCAAAACCCCTTATCCATGTGGAGCATTTCCTTAAAACAAGACTGAGAGTAAGATATGTCCTCACTAGGGGCAACTCGCATATAACAGTTTACATTGCTCTGTCGTAGGCGGTTCACCTTCGACGACAAGGAGTCGGCCTGAGCGTCAAAGGCCATGAGGAATTAAGAATGTCGAGTGGCTATAAAATGCTGCGGAAAGAACAGCTATCAGGAAATGCTAAAACCAAAGTAACTCATGTAGAACACTGCATATGTAAGCGCGCAGCTAGGATACAGACAGAAGTGGCGGCGATATATATATACTATTTTGAAGTGATTCGATCACGCCAGCAAGCCCTCCAGTTAAGGGAGGTGGCGGGATGGCCCGAGGTGTACAAGACCACAAATTATGAAGGCTAATTGAGTGATAAAACATTGGCCACCCGCAAATAGTACATGGCTCATCTAAGCTTTTACATAAGCTGCTTGAATATTACTTTTGGATGGCGCATAAGGGGAAAAAAGTGTAGCGCGTTGTCAATGTCGGGGCCCACCAATGCTGGTTTCCAACGTCACAAGTAATGCGAAAGGTTATAATGTAACACCGATACTGTATTTGCATTAACCCACATGTGCACATTCTTATAACTTTCTACCGCATCAAAGTAATTGGTTGAATCAGAACAGAGGACAGCAAATAATCAAAATGCAGGGCAGGGCAGACCGCTGTCGCCTTCTACCCTACATGTAGCGGCATCGTCAACTGCTTTTCCGTTCCCACCCAACAGCCTCATCGTGTCACGTCCAGAGCCGGAACAGCACAGAGTACACAGCCACGGTGATCAGTGCAACGATGCCACCCATGTCCACAGCGCAGCTGCGATGGCTCACGCGACATGGCTGGCAAAGAGAAGGCACCATATTCCATTCGAAGCTTGCAACCGCACGCAGCACATCCGCAGGACGGAAGACGCCCGTCACCATGGCGACGCGAGACTCGGTCCGCGCTGAGGCGAGCGGAGTCGCCTATGTACCAAGACCATCCGACCTGGCAGTCTGCTCCAGGCCGCCGCTGGACCGGCCTGAGAGCGGCCTGCCCGTGACCAGCTGACCCACACTCCTCCCGCCCCAGTCACGCCACAGGCCAGCTACACCCTCCGCAGCACGCATTGCTGTTAGTTGCGTGAAATGATGGAGCAGACCGTTAACCACCTGGATTCATGCATTCATTCTGTATGATGGCTTACAAACCTATACCGAAAACGAACGGTTGTCGATTTTGCAGCAAGCAATACGAGTTCTAAAAAATAAATAATAAATTATTAAAAATTAATAATTTTACGGCAAAAACAATGCAACGCCGGCTCGGATACTGGTAGTTTTACAGATTGGGCAGGTGTAGACTTGCTTTCAGAGCAGCTTCCCCTGCTCAGGAGAAAGCAGTCCGATAAATGTTAAATGGCTGCGGCGCTGGAACTGCTAATTACAGACCAGAGAACGCCCGGGCAAGACGAGATAAAGCACACGGAGGCATACCTCGCAACTTAACACTTCCATTCCAGGTACGCCAACAAAGTTGGCTACGTGACACAAGCCTGGGGAGTAGATGTTACAGTAAAGGGCTACACTCTGTCTTAGAGGACGCTGCCTGGGGAGTGGAGTTACACTCTAGGGCTACGCTCTGCCTCATAGACAGGGCGTAGCCCTTAGTTCCAGCCAACGAACAGTCCAATAACTATGCTACAAACGTCCGCGGTGGACAACCACATAGGAGTTATCGAGAGGTGGGAGTAGCAATCTCACAATCTCAGCGCCGTGGCACAATTTGGCCAACACTGGAACACGTCAACGGACCAGGCGTAAACACTCTGCGATGAGATGGAAGGCAAACTAAAAAAGTCGGGACCGCGAAGCTTTAAACAACTCAGCAACTCAGTTCCCTATGACGGAGGATGTCTCAACTCAGTTCCCTGCGACGGAGGAATGTCTCAACTCGGTTCCCTGTCGGAGGATGTCTCAACTCGGTTCGCTATGACGGATGATGTCTCAACTCAGTTCGCTATGACGGATGGTGTCTCAACTCAGTTCCCTATGACGGAGGATGTCTCAACTCAGTTCCCTATGACGGAGGATGTCTCAACTCAGTTCCCTATGTCGGAGGATTCTCAACTCGGTTCGCTATGACGGATGATGTCTCAACTCAGTTCGCTACGACAGAGGATGTCTCAACTCAGTTCGCTGTGACCGACGATATCTCAACTCAGTTCGATATGACGGATGATGTCTCAACTCAGTTCGCTACGACAGAGGATGTCTCAACTCAGTTCGCTGTGACCGAGGATATCTCAACTCAATTCGATATGACGGAGGATATCTCAACTAGCTCAAGACTAACTGCACGTGGCTGATTTGCCGAAACTCCAAAACAGTGATGTGGTAACCAGGTAGCCAATGACTGCGTGCTTCAGCGCAGATACATAAACTTGGGCATGAAATCAGGGCATGGAAACTTCATTTGGCGACCCGTGAAGACCACAGTCCTGAGAAAGGGGCTTCGCCAGGGCAGCACTTTTCAATGGAGATTTGCAACATAGTGTCTTGAAAAACAGTGCTTCCATGAACTGATACCAGGGTGACGGAAGGTCCTCTGTAGGTAACCGTAACATCGCACATTCCAATATTGCATGTTTTTCGACCGAGTGTGCGTGTGAATGCGTGAAAAATGTAACATCGTACCTTTTGCCGATGCTGGTGCACCAGCTTAGGGATGTGCTTTGCGGGGGATGGATGGTCGCGTGTAGGAGCGCGAGGACCTGGAACCATGCGTCCCACCGACACTTATGACAAGAGAGTCGGGACTTCTTGTCCCACTGGTTAGTCCAGTTTCGAAAAAAAAACCGGCACGGGTAGAAGGGTCATCAGAGGATGCCATCAGCATCTGGATACCTACAAATTGTTTGTGGTGAACGGCGGCGATGGGGACAGCCCTGGCCCGTGCGGTTTAAGCGGGCGGAGGACGGTGGTGGTCGGTGCACATCAGCCAAGCAAAAAAATCCAAACGCAATGTCCTGGTCGGCCATGCGCCCCCGTCGGCTCGCCACGCAATCCGTCGCTACCAATGCGCGTATTTTGGGTCCCGACGACCATTGCGAGTATAAATACCTAATCATGCCTATTGTACACGTATTTGCATTATACAGACCCAGCCGGCGGTAGGCTGCAACATATCCTCTCGGCTGAGACGCGCATGCTTACAGGGAAGCACGGCAAACGTTCTGCTGACAATGCGGGCAGGCTTGAGTGCGGCGCCACGGTGTGATTGCAATGTGACTGTCAGCAGCTGGTCAGTGGCAGAGCAAGCAGCGTGCTGCCGGCGCCAGCCGCCGTCTGCTCATCCGACGCGTTTATTGCTGATTATCAGAGCTTCCAGTGAGGCAGTATTCTAACATGAGCCGTTAGTATCCTATAAGGGTTTACATTAATGCTCTTATAATGCTTTTTAACATACAGTGTTCTTTAAGGTATAAGGTCAGCGACGTCAGAGGTAAGCACCGTCGTCAGCACAAGCCACTGCCCCCGCAGGCACGGCAGAGACAAACTTACCGAGGGGCTCGATGTAGCGGAAGATTTTGCTGACGATGCCGAGCGCGGCCCGATACTGGCGCAAGTGGTACAGGATGACGGCGTAGTTGTAGTAGAGGATGCAGTTGTCCACATCCTCCAGCGTCTCCAACCGTTCAGGCCGCAGCTTCGCCTGAGGCGCGGCCAGGAACAGCCAGGTGTATATGACAAACATTCAGAAACATGCTGTGACAGTGATCAGTCAACACCATTCATCATGAGCCACAAAGCACAAGTACATAATATGCAACACCTACAGGAAGGACAATCATCAAGGTGCAATGCAAAAACACAGCAATTTATCATGTGCATCACATGTAGCAGAAAATGTCTGAAAGGATTTTACATGGAATCAAGTTTGACCCTACTCCAAGAGTTCTAGAGAAAAAAATATAAATGGTGTGGCACAGCTGAGCCAAACCTTGCACAGCTGTAGGTGATTGAGTAGCAGACCTTTTGGCGTACAAGTTAGATTACCTTGCAAGGTCCATGACCTCGGCAGGTCAAAGTCAGGTTATGGTTATTACTGAAAGCAATTTCTAGAGAATCATTCAATCTGATGTGACAGTGAAGCGTTAGATGAAGGAATGCATCTTTGAGATAGTTTCTTAGACAACGGGACAATTAGATCTAGGATAACAAGTTCTTTTGACTTAGAGTCAGGTATAAAGGTCAGATGGAGCTCAAAACCAACCTGCTTTTTACTAGACTCTGCTGTATGGGGTCATTTCTGGTGCTCATTATGAAGTTATTGATATCAAGAATTGCAACAAACATCTTCCAAAAGTTTCTTAAATGTCAGGGTGTCACTAAACTAAAATGATCTCCATCAACAATTTGATTTTAAGAATAAATCACCTAGCATAGCCCTTGATGCTTACTCAAATACAAAAAACAAAACAAAACAAAACAATCACACAGGATTTTGGTCACCATGACACTCCAAAGGTAAAAGAAAGTCATAAATCTTAAAAGAACATTACTGACCCTTTGCTTAGAATAGATGTCTAGGTTCAAGGCATTTGCATGAAGTTGGGGGCACTTTGGATGTCCAGAGTCTGACCTTTTTTACCTTATTTGACCCAGATGTTATGAACTACAAGCCTCAAATTTGGACAGAAGTGAGTTCACATACAGTACATCAACACACCATGTGAGCTTAGCATGCCTAGCTCTCTTAAATTCTGAGATCTCATGGTTGCAAATTGACCTCTCAACCAAGTGAACAGCATGCAACTGCCTACCCCAGTGCATGTTAATGAGCACATGCAACTTACCTTCTCAAAAACAGACTTGAGGGCTTTTTGAAAAGCCTCAGTCTTCTTAAGACCACCTTTATAAAACTCGGCTACTGCCTTATTGTGGGCAAGTTTAAGGTCACCATTTCTGTCAGAGGGCAGCTTATCCAGGACTTGCAGGCAGTTGGAGTAGTTGCCCTTGTTGAACTCTGTTTTGGCTTTAACAGCCAGCTCTTTGTCAGAGCTACCCAGGTTTTTGTCCCCTTTTGAGGTCATCTTCCACCTGCAATATGCAGCTCAGGTGTACAATTTCACAACAGCACCACTGTGTGGGATGAGTGCAGGGAGTAATGGATGACTGCAATTGAGCCATGACAGTGATTTGTGGGTAGTGGTCAAAACAAAACATGCACTGAACTAGGGTATATATAAAACATGAATATCATATTTATATACCAAAACAAGCCAGCAGGTTATATCTAAAAACACAAGTGAGTAAGAAGATCAGGGGCCAGAGAAAAACAGGGAGGTCAGAGGCCACATGCTCCCTACTTTATATGGGGCCAAACAACTCAAACAAATAAAAGTGAGGAGAAATGTTATACTTCACAAAATATTAGACATTTGCATGACATGGTTTAGTACAACCATCATGATGAACCACAAATTTGCCCAGTTGCTTACTTACTTCACGCATCTAATTTTTCAAGCCATTACTCAAATGATACTTGCTAAGGATGAAGATTTTGACCCCAAACAAGCTATGACCATAAGTAATGCTCCTTACGAAAAATGAACGGTTTATGTAGGACTGACAAATGCCATAGATCACAAGCAGTCACCTTGAGACTCACATATGGAGTGGCACTATCAGGATGCATGCACATACATTAGTTTGCTGTGGTGCCAGTGTGTGGCAGTATTTGCACAGGAAAATTCTTAATGTCATTTTCATACAATTACTTGTCTATATTGTGGAGAAAACATGACAGCTGGACAGCATAAACATTGTGAGCACATATCTTAAAACACATCAATATTTCAACTCAATTTTTCAGAATTTGACCAGAACTTTTATGTCATCTAATGACTAGATGTACATGAGATAATGCCACATAAGAAAACAATGAGACAATTCCGTACCATGCCCGTCGTAGGTGGTATTTAGAACCCGTTTATCAGCAAGCATGAACGAAATTAAAACGATCCTCGCCGCGAACTCTGAATTTCGAGGAGCTAAGCAAAAATAAAGAAGGATATGGAGAACCCCACCACACATCAACAACCCATCATCAAATCCATGCCTTTACACCGATATCGACTCACTCCTCAACTCAGTGCCCGTGCAGCCCTCGTCATTAACCTTGGCACCCTACAGTGACCGTGGCCAACTGAGGTTCATGTTACTTAAGCTACAATCTACTGACGGTCATATTCGGTAGAGAAAAATAAACGGAATTACTTGGGCAGCTATTCCGGTAGATATTCCCACCGTACTCTAAAAGCTTAGATTTAAGGATTGTTTTTCTTCGACAATTCTTCCGCAGAAAATTCAAATACGGAAAACCATGGTTTCGTGGTTCTTGATGGTTCTTGGTCTGGTCGGTCTGGTCATGAAGTAGTGTGAAGTACATATTTTCCAAGCTGTCAGCGATTTTGCTGTAGGCTGGTGCCAGGCAATCGGTACGACCAATTCTGTGTGATGGGCGATTGCTGGGGCGTGTGAGGGTGGAGGGGCTTACAACCCTTGTAGGGTACCTGGACGCGTAGGTACCAAGTAGGTACTGATAAATGGGAATATAAATGATCACTGAGTTCTTAAGCTTTTAGTTCATTCATTACCATCAGCATGCTTAGAAGGAAGTTATGTACTGTTCTATTTGCCTGCAGGTATTTGATTTTGTTCCCACATGATGATGAGGCGACTGGCAGTGCGTGAGGTGCACATGGTGTACTTTCTATGTAAACTGCCATTGAAACATCCCATGGAAGATCCTTCTCCAGAAATAAAGAAATAAAACTGCATTGAGATACTGTTGATATGGGCTGTGGGACTGTCATTTGAAAATGGGCACAGTGGTAGGTACTTAATGAGCATGTTATGCACTGCTGTTCTTACTGTAAAAGTGTGGCATATTTAGCATGGGTATGTGGCATGAGGACTCCCCATTATGTAGGTGTGTGTGCCTCCATGACACATGGGAGTCAAGGAACCAAATGAAATATACACATGTATGTTAAAAAACAATGTCTGATCTAAGTAATTTCTACAGTGTATACATCAATGTTGCAAGAACTACAATGCATTTTTGCAAACCATTTTTGTGAAACCTATACCCAGTCAGAGTAATGGCAAGCTCAGAGGAAATCCTTTTTCATCTCAGCGAGAAAATAGACTTTATGCAGGTATGTAGCAACTGTGTGATCAATTGATAGGAGGCAAATGGTTTCAGGACATGTGGTTATTCAGCAGAGGGTTATGATATTCAGCTTGAGTTTCACTATGCCAGCATGTAATAACTAGTAGACCCACCTATAAGCCAAGTGATTATTATTCTGTGTGATGTTTATATTTGGCACCATCTGCCATGCATATAATTCCCACAAAAAATGTGCTGACAAGAGGTTTATTTCATGTCTGCTTGACATGCAGGTGCACCTGGCATCTGCCTCATCAGCTACACGTCGCTCTCTGGAGTCGGGTCTGGAGCAGCTGCGGGCTGCTGGTGGACGTGTGACCAGTGGCGAGGCTTGGGAGGCAGCCCGCCAGCGCTGGCACCTCCTGGCTGCCGCTACTGCTGACCGCTGGCAGCATGTGCGGGAGACAGCTGGCCAGTTTAACCTGCAAGAGTTTATCGAGAAGGCCCGGTTCCTTGTGCTTACTGATGGTAGGGTCCTGGGCATTGCTGACATGTGTATCACTGCCACAATGATACAGAGATGCCAGGTTTATGTCTGGCCTTTTTTATCACTGAGCACCAATTATCATCTATTCATACATAATTTTGTTTGCATACTTTGCTTGTACTTAGAGACCATAATCCACCAATTCCTGAATATGCACCACCATGGAAAACACTACACTGGTTTGGCTATACTCCTGTGGTAGCACACCTGTCTGTGTCTGATCGCGCTGCTCCTGTTCAGTGAGCACGATCCATGTGGGTCTGCTGGGCGCCGGGTTCGGTGCTGGCCTGCTGGTCGGCTACCTGCTGGGACGGCGGCGGCGGGCGTCGCCCCTCGGCCGGCCCGCGCTCATGCGGGCCGTGGTCTGCTGCGGCTACCAGGGGCTCGACGTGAGTGCTGGCCGCCGCTGGAGGTGTGCCGGGGAGGGCTGAAATATGGGGCTGGCGCGATTACTGGACGAGTTGTCACTGCTATATTGGGTACATGTGTTCGACTGAACATGGTGCCCGTTTGCCGCAATGGGGGATGTGCGGACTTGGATAATTTGCATATTTCTTTGGGTTTTTGCCCCACTCTCAGTGAGGTATTGGCACAAATGATGCATAGGTTGCTAAGAAGCACGAGTTCGAGCACGCACACGCACCGTCCGTGTTCTGGAAAAATGTGAGGTTCGTACGCTCCTTACAAGCATTGTTGTGGAGCGCAGCTCCTGCTTGTTGACAACTTAAAGTGTTCCGATATATCCGAAGAAGGGCGCGGTATTTTGACTCGAAGAGAGCGTTCGTCGGGTGCACCTCTGGTGGAGGACGGCCGCCGGTGGGCGGTGGTCACCCTGCCCCCTCTCTCGCGCGGGCAGGACGTGCTGCTGGTGGAGGACCAGCCGCGGCCCGAGATCGTCACGCCGCACGAGGTGCTGGTGCGCGTGAAGGCGGCCGCCGTGGACCGGGTCGACCTGCGCATCGCCTCCGGCTACGGCCGCACGCTCCGCCGCCAGACCAACAAGTACAACCCGGTGAGGCGCGGCCGGTGGAGGGGTGCTGGATCGGAGAGAGGGGAGGCGAACGCCGACAGGTAGAGATTGGCCCAGGCGGCGAACAGCGCCCAATTAGCGCCAGATCGCTCGGAATGCGTGGAGATGTCTTAAAAATCATGCTGTGACAGTGTTGAGTGACCTGCAATTTCGTGACCTGGCAACTATGCCATGCTGCAGGGCCTTGTGGCTTGCTCACTGTGGCGGACATGGGTTGCTCCCCTAGAGCGATAGTTTCGATAGATGCTGTGATGAAGAAAAGACTGGCGTAATAAGGGTGTACGCAGTTCTGCCGTGTTGTTTGTATATCCGCGCGCTGTCTGGCCTTCCGCGCCGTCCAATTTGTGACTGACCACGCCGGGGCCGCGTCGGCAGCACGTGACTTCGGAGCTGCCGGTGGTGCTGGGCCGTGACTTGGCCGGAGTCGTGGACCAGGTGGGGCCAGAGGTCACGCTCTGGGAGGTCGGCGACCCCGTCTGGGCGGCCGTGCCTTTCTGGAGACCCGGCACGCTGGCCGAGTTCGTGGTGCTCGACGAGAAGGAGGTACGTTGACTCATCCCCGGCGCGCGCGAGAGGCTGGAGTATTTGGGGCCGTTGTCTCCCGGTCGGGGGAGGGAGGAGGAGGGGGAGAGAGCGGACGGCTTGATCGGTAGTGGCTACCGCAGGCTACGCTCTTTCGTCATCTTTGTCGGTGCGCTGCTTTTGCATACGTGCGTGCTAACAGGTGTCAGTGTCGTGCATTGACTAACTGCACTGGACGCAGCTACCTTTTTAGTAACCAGGCTGTCATGGGTTCCCGGAAGTTGTGGGTGCTGTGGCGACTTGTGAGTGCGTTGTGGTTTGCTCGGTCTGTTCATTGCGCCCGTCTGTTTTGAGCGTCTTGTGAGACGGGTGAACGTTGGGGGCGCAGTTCGGTTTGGGATGTGATTTTCTTTAAGTGGCAGATGGTTCGTGTGGTAAGCCGTGATGGCGCTAGCTAATGTAATTGTTTGCGAATGGGGATTCGGTTTATGGAGTTGTTCCGGCCCATGATGCCGATTCATGTCATGTTCCCTTTTGAGAACTCCGGCGTTTGCAGTGGTCAGCCCTGGCAGATCCGCTTCGTGCAGTGTTTGGCAGTGAGGTGTCCAGTTTCTGTCACGTGGCTCGCCGTGATCGGTTCAGCTTCACCGGCGCTCGCCAGTCTAAGACTTCCCCCCCCCGCCCGCCGTGATCGGCTCAGCCTCCCGGCGCTCGCCGGTCTCAGACGCCCACCCCCCCCCCCCCCCCCGCCCGCCGTGATCGGCTCAGCCTCCCGGCGCTCGCCGATCTCAGACGCCTCCCCCCCCCGCCGTGATTAACTCAGCCCCGCCGGCGCTGTCTGACCAGTCTGAGACGCTCCCCCTCCGGCAGCTGTGCCTCGCCGGCGCTGTCTGACCAGTCTGAGACGCTCCCCCTCCGGCAGCTGTGCCTCGCCGGCGCTGTCTGACCAGTCTGAGACGCTCCCCCTCCGGCAGCTGTGCCGTAAGCCGGACGGCGTGACGTTCGAGCGGGCGGCGGCGCTGCCGTACTCGGCCACCGTCGCCTGGGACGCGCTGGTCACGCAGGCCGGCTTCGGACCGGATGTCGCGCCCGACAAACGGTGAGACGCCGGTGACGGGTCAGCGGGCCGCGCGGCGAGGCGGCTGGACACTGCAGGAGGACGTGACGCCGTGTGAGGGGCGTCACGTGTCCTCGCGAATATGGTCGAGCGTGCAATCAAGTGTCGAGTCGAGTTTTCGGGTCGAGTGACCCCCCTCCCCCCGCCCCTCCCCCTTCTCCGGGCAGAGTGCTGGTGCACGCCGGCGCCAGCGGCGTGGGCTTGGTTGCGCTGCAGCTGATCAAGACCTGGGGCGGTCACGTGACCACCACCGTGGCCACCCGACTGGTGCCGCTGGCCCGCATGCTGGGCGCCGATGACGTCATCGAGTACGACACAGCCGACCTGGAGAAGGAGCTCTCGCTGCGAGACAAGTGAGGCGGCTGGCGCCGTCCGGGCCGATGGCGAGCAGCGACGCAGAGTGGCGTCAGCTGTCGGCAGCTGTCGGTTGGACTGTAAACCTTTAGCTGCCACCAGCAGGTGCCGTTAGGCAGTGTTTGAGTCCGGCTATGAATACCGATTTGCCAGGTCTTTAAGACTGTTGTGGAGATTCCGGGTGTGCCTTTTGGGGATACGGCTATTCCAATGTCTCGGCCCATGCCACCGTGTTGTCTGCGTCCTTGTGTCCGTACAATGTTTTGTTTGCGGCCAGCTGTTCGTTTCTTCCTGCCCACCGCTATAGATATACATACATATATATATATATATATATATATATATATATATATATATATATATATGCATAATTTCTCCTTGGTTCCCAATGTTTTATGTTATATGTGTACCTGTTAACTACATTCGCCATTTATCTGGCTGCTTACTTTCCGCCAAATGCCCCGCTCTCCGCCAGGGGTTTGCTCCGAAGAATATCTGCCAGCCATGCTGGATGGGCCGCAGATTGTCTTGGGTGGTGTCACATCTTCAGACTTGGTCCCTCTGGCACAGGGCTTTGTGTGTGCACCGTGGCGGGGCCGGATGGCAAAGGGCTCGTGTTCGGGTCTGGCCTCTAGGCTAACGCTCGACGGGCGCAGCGAGCCGCGTCTTGTATCCCTGTTATGGCACGGCCGCGGCCGGACGGTGCTGACAGATGCGCGCGCTGCCTGGCCAGGTTCGACGTGGTGCTGAACACGGCCGGCCCGTCGCTGCATGCCGCCTGCCTGCGCCACTGCGCCGACTCGGGCCTCGTGGTCACCACCGTGGAGGCGGCGCTGCCCTCCGACCGCTACGGCTTCGTGCTCGGCTCCCTGTACGCCCTCTGGGTGCGGCTGAGCCGCCTGGCCGGGCAGGTGAGGACGCAGTCCCCGGGTACAGCTGTGCCATGGCGCCTGTGACTTGTGAGTTCCAGTAGCAGGTGGCGAATCCTGGAGAGCATGTGTTCCTGCGAGGTGGAGTCTTGTTTCGCTCGCAGTTGTTTGATGTTTACTGATTGGTTTCCATGGGTGCGTTGGAGGCACAGAGCTGAGTGCAATTGTGTTCTCTCCCAACACTCCACACCTTGTCCCCAGCCGCTGCTCCTGTCTCAGAGCAGGACACGGTGACGCCTTCCCTCGACTACCTCCCCTTGACTCCCCCTCCTCTGTCCGCAGCCGCTGCTCCTGGCCGAGAACAGGACGTAGTCACGCTCTGTCTTGACTCTCCCTTCTCCGCCCGCAGTCGCTGTACTCGTCGAAGAACTGAGGCCCGATAATATAGTCCCCTGACTGCCCCTCCCCTCCGCCCGCAGCTGCTGTTCCTGCCGGAGAGCTGGGGCACGGTGACATCTCACCTGCCTTCCCTCCCCTCTGCCCACAGCTGCTGTTCCTGCCGGAGAGCTGGGGCACGGTGACATCTCACCTGCATTTCCTCCCCTCCGCCCACAGCTGCTGTTCCTGCCGGAGAGCTGGGGCACGGTGACATCTCACCTGCATTCCCTTCCCTCCGCCCACAGCTGCTGTTCCTGCCGGAGAGCTGGGGCACAGTGACGTTCTCGCCGGAGACGCTAGCTCAGCTGGGGGTGCTGGTGGACGCGCGCGAGCTGCAGGCCGTGGTCGAGCACACGTTCGACTGGCAGGATGCCGACGCCGCGCTGCAGTACATGGCCCGCGGCGATGCTGTGGGCAAGCCGGTCGTCCGCTTCAGGTGAGCACAGCCTCGTGTCAGGACTGAGCGGGGGAGGGAGGGGACCGGGAACACGGCCATCCGGAGTCAGGCAGCTCCGTGAGATTTTGCGCCATGTTTAGCGTGTGGTGTGTCGCTGGTGGGTACTGTTTAAATCGGCAGGGGCATTGTGTTACGGACATAGTTTAAGTCATGTGTGAACTGATTTCGAGATATCTTGTGGTTTCTCCTCGAATTATTGAAACAGGAACCGAGCGACATTCATCGCCGACTTATCGTGTTGGCCAGATTGTGTTCAGTAGCTCCCGCTCCAAAAGTTGTTGTTTTTTTTTTTGCTTCGTTTTGTTTTGTCATATTTACTCCCGCATTTTGGACAATACCTTCAAGGCATTGGCGCTCAGCGGAATAGTTTCAGCGCGTCTAACAAGCAATGCATTTGCCGTGCGTGGAAGGAATTCGGTAGGTGATAAAGGATTACATAAGTAGGAGGCGACAAAACATGGTATAGTCACTTACTGCGTCGAGGCGGATTGAGAAAGGTGTTGCTGGTAGCACACACCTGATCAGTAATTTATTTTCAGGCACACTGATGCTCAGCCACGGCCGGCTACTCCGTTATGACGCGGCAAGAATACTCTGATAGAAAATGGTGCAATTTGGTAGTGCCTGGCCCATGAAATGCTGTCGGAATGCAGTGAGAACTAGTCCTTGCGAAGCGTATGCCATCATGAACCTTTCCGGTGATGAGTGCTTGTGAACTATTTGGATTTGTGAGTCATTTTGCGGACCGACGCCCATTGAGGCGTGCATTTGTTGTCTACAACTATACACATTGAACTAGGGGCATCAGGTCGTGGTGTTGGATAGCGTCACTCCATGTATTGGACAGTGCCAATCGTGCCTATTGTTGTTTTGCCCCGAATACAATAATCGCGTGGCGGTAACCGTGTTACATTATTGGCTACCACATGATCGGGCTGGTTCAAAATTACGCAAGTTGTGTAACTGCATGTGCAAAATTACGCACGTGCATGTGCGAGGAACATTATTCACACGGATAAGACAGTAGTAATAACCTTATTCCTCAGATAAAAAAACATGGGAATGGATGTATGGATGCGTTGATATTTCAACAACATGCCTTTATCAAAACAATGGCAGAAAGAAATTCAAAATTACCTGCCGATGATCCTGCTCGATTGTTTTCAAGTGTTTCTCCTTTGGAACGGGAAGGCACAGTTTTTACTGGACAGTGCTTGGTTGTCAATGGACAATTTGGACAAAATGTCCAAGTGGACAATGGGACAATGCTTGTTTGTTTTACCATGTTTATTTTTCCAACGTTAAGAAAAACTGGAAAAAATCGAGTAGTATCATAGGTAGACGATCTTGAATTCACTTCTGCTGTCGTTTCGATGAAGGAATGTTGCCAAAATTGGGGCACATCTGCAACCTCATTATCCTGGCTTTTCTCATAGGAATAAGGCTATTACTACTGTCTGATCTGTAATTGGGCTGGTGATGCGAATGAACGCCCCGGTGCAACTGTGAGCAGACTGTCGTGTGTCGCGTTGAGACAGTCCGAATACTATACTGCGTTGAACACACCAGCCGTCACACCAGGGCTATGGTAACGGTGCAGGTCGACTAGTGTTGGCGGCACTGTCATCTATGTTCCCACGCCCCTGGGAAGCAGTTTGGGGCGTCGCCAATGGAGGTAGGGGAACATGCGCTCACGCGCCCTGAGCACTGCATGGCTCCCCGGGTGTCAGAATGGACCTTATTTTTATAACTCGTTAGGACCGCGGGCCCATGACTCTCCAAATTAGGAGTTCGACCTCCCACCCGCCGCCGGGCATTCGCTGGGAGCCGCCGGCATTTAGGTCTTAGTGATGGTCCTTGTGCTGTCATCAGCATGCACGCTAGGGTGCCGGCCTACAACCGGCGTGTTATGGTTGCCGCGGCGTACCATCGGCGTGTTGCGGTCCCTACGGTATGCAACGACACGACATACAAAGGGCGTGGTACGGTGGCCCCAGCATTGAGCTGCCTTGTGCTGGGAAGTCCGTACATTGGAGGATCAGGCATTGGGCAAGGTTCAGACGCCTTCGGGCGTAACTGCCAGTGGGGTCTGAAGTCTAGACCTGTCTGGGTTCCAGCAACTTACGGAAAATAAGGCATTTTCTTCTTTTGACCATGCAAAGCAATGTGAGCCCAGATTTGATTCTAGTAAACTGATGCTTGCTGAACCCGACTCTGATGATGATGATTTGGGGTTTAAGGGAGCATCGACTGCTGTAGGTCATGCAGCGCCCATAACTATCAATTTATGCAGAGCCGCCAATCAGGCAAGTGCATCAATCAAGTCACCCTAAAGAACTTTGATGACCAGGCCTAGTATCATGACGGAAAGTTTACTGGGAAATCTATAGCGCGAAGAAACTGGAGCACTTTACCAAACTCGACAGCGGGTGAAGAATCCCCTGAAAAGTCACATAGCGTGCGACTCTGGACGTTGTGTCCGAAAAACTGCGCTCCGTTGCAGTAAGGTGACGGCAAGCGACCAGTCCGTGATGCACGGTTAGCGGGTCAAAGCATCGACTGCAGCATTGTCTGTCGCCAGCCAATAGCAGGTGACGGTGCGTGGCATATGTGTGGCCTATGCGTAACCGGCAAAGAGCAGCTTCTTCCCTCCGATTGTCCCGAAAACACGACTGCCATAGTCCAGTACGGGGTTTCAAGGACCGCAGCTTGTTGGCGCTCAGCGAGTTCCAGTAGAACTGCCATCGCTTCTGCATAAACGACGACACTGCGGGGTACATGTCTTGAGCTGGTAGTGGTGTTATAGGAATTCTAGGCCCTGTCGTAGCGCGCTTTGGTGCCGCGTCAGCAAGATCATTTCCGCATATCCCCACGTGACTTAGGATCCAGCGTAGTACAATCGTTTTCCTGCTCGATCCAGTGAGCTAAGACGCAATTGAATGTTCTGGACCAATGGATTTGACAAGGAAAAGCCGCCAACAGCCAGGAGACTGCTCAAAGAGTTGGAAAGAATCAAATGCAGATTGCTATTGTCCACTTAATAAAGCAGAGAGCTTTGCTGATGGCTATAAGCTCGGAAGGAAAGACTGACACGTGCGCGGGCAGTGTGAATGACCGTGTTGTGGATCCGCACACAAAAGCGCATCCTACACCTGCATCCGTCTTCGAACCATCCGTATAAGTCATCACGTATCCGTCAAAATAGGCTATGTGCTGTAAGGCTGCGTCTGTAAGTTCCGCCATGAGAACGTGTTGCTTTTTGCATGTTTGATAACGAAACATCCACTCTTGGCGATGTTAGCTCCCAACGAGCAGCCTCCATGGGTTTAGGTCTGGTGACACATCGTAGGTTCAGGCCGCTCGCGTGTAGGAGTTCTCGCATTCGTACACAAAAGGGAGAAGTTCGTGGTGACCGTTGAAGTAGAAAAAGCCTTCGTAAGCTACGCGAAAACACTGCTGTGGGATGATCTGGGAACTGCGCCACCTTGCACGTGTAGCGCAGTCCCAGCATCTGCCTTCGCAATGCTAGTAGGAGCTCGTGAGCCCCCACCAGCAGACTATCTATGGGCGATGTCCGAAAGCCCCTGTGGCGATATGTAGTGCGGCGTGATGCACCGTGTTCAAAATACGTTTAATCAGGTCTGATGAACTGTCGTAGATAAAACAGCGGCGGGCAAGTTTTGAACGAATTAGGAAACAATGTAGGAGTAAGAGTGTCCTCCTATCAGCACCGTATGATGTACGTCCCACGCGCCTTAGGATGTTAAGAGATTTTAAACATTTGTCGCGGATATTTCTTATGTGCTCACGGTATGTTAGGCGTCGGTCAAATCTTATACTGAGAATTTTCGCGGTATTGTCATTGGCGACGCGTTGCACATACAGCCTGATTTCCATTTCAGGACAATGACACCGACGACGACAGAAATGAACTACAGTTGTCTTCTATGTAGAAAACCGGAAACCGTTGAGCACACTCCACTTCTCCAAACGTGTGACAGCCAGCTGCAGCTGTCGCTCCATCGTGCGAGTGGTCGACGAGCTACACCAAATAGCAAAGTCGTCTACGAACAGAGAACGGCTGATCCCATGTGGAAGCGTGTCCTCTATATCGTTTATCATCACTGCGAAAAGAATGACACTTAATACGCTGCACTGAGGCACATAATTGTCCTGTGGGTACCTGTCGGATTGATAAGAACCAACACGCACCCGAAAGAATCTGTCAGTCAAAAATGTTTTGTAAAAACTTTCCCTTGTGACCGCGGAAGCCACAATCGAGTAACTTCATCATAATTCCATGCCTCCACGTGGTATCATAAGCTTTTTCTATTAAAAAAGATGGCGCCGGTATGGCGTTTGCTAATAAACCCGGCCGCACTGCGGTATCAAGAGTTAAGATGTGGTCAGTCGTGCTCCGGTTCTTACGGAATCCGCACTGAGCATTCGTAAAAAAGTTTTGACGTTCTTAAGTCCACGAGAGCCGCACATTTTCCATGAGCTTACAAAGCGAGGATGGAAGGGCGATCGGGCGGTAGTCAAGGGCGTTTGTTTCACTTTTCCCGGGCTTTAAAATAGGCACTGCTATGGCCTCTCGCCAGGTTGGCGGGAAGCTGCCTGACTTGCATATACGGTTCAAAAGGGCCAACAGCGCTCGTAGTATGCGGGGAGGAAAATGCTGTATCATGTCATCGTGGATGAGGTCGGGCCCCTCCACAACACTACGCGGTGAGCGAATGGCCGCTTGAAGTTCCATCATAGTGAAATGCTTGTTGTATGGTAGGATGTCATCTGCATGAAAATTAACTTGCGAAGTTTCACATGTCGTAAAAACTAACCGTGTGTCGTAAAAACCGTGGATCGCAGGTGCCATTTCGGCAACGCTCTGACAAGGCTTCCCCAATGGCTTCCGCGACATCACTTGGGTAAGTGATGTCTCGATTTCCCACTCGCAGTACGGGAAGTGAGATTGGTGGGTGCAATCCAGCGATTCTTTAAATGCGGCGCCATACATGTGATGTGTCGGCGTGTGGCGATTCAGTGAATTGACGTAGCTGCGCCATGATGCACGTTTCGCCTCTCGTATAGTGCGGCGTGCGGCCGCGCGTGCTTGCCTGAAAGCCAAAAGGTTTAAAGTGTTGCTGTGCCGGTCAAAAGCCCTAAAAGCTCTCCGACGTGCGCGAATAGCGTCGCGACACTCGTCGCTCCACCAAGGTACAGAGATGCGACGAGGGCATCCGGAATGTATTCGCTTGCCGCGTACAGAACACGAGACGTAAATTCCTCCGCGGTCGGCGTCGCAGAGTCGGAATCGTTAGAAAATACTTCTTCTAGGCGGGTACCAAATCCGCTCCAGTCCACCTTCTTCAAGTTCCAGTGCTGAGTTCGCGTACCAAGAACAGTACCATCACGGTACCGAACCCAGACCGGAAAATGGTCACTTCCAAGGGGGTCCTCTGAAGCATCCCAGGTGAAGTGTGGGTACCAACTGCGGACTACAAATGCTCAGGTCTAGCACTGACGATCGTCCTGATGACAATGTAAAATGCGTTCTCGCTCCTGTATTTAAAACATACAAACCTTCGTCACGCACGAAAGCCTCACATAGGCTACCGCGAGTGTTCGTGCAAGCACACCCCCACACAGTATGATGTGTATTAAAATCGCCTAAAACGGACAGAGGGGGAGGCAGTTGAGAGACTGACTCTCGTAGTCCTCCAGATGAAAATGAAACAGCAGGTGGTAAGTAGAGAGAGCGGACAGTTATGGTGCGGCGGTTGAAATTCATCGATGCTGCGACAGCTTGCAAGTCCGTTCTTAACACCAGGCGCCGTGTAGGTACGCTTTGGTGTACAGCCAACAGAACGCCACCGTAAGCAACGGTGTCTGTTGGCCTATCAGTGCGGAAGGTAGTGTACCCTTTCAGGCTGAAGGCCGCATCAGGCGCCGACTTGGTCTCCTGGGTAAATACGGCTACCGCGCAGTGTGCACTTAAAACTGTCTGCAAGTCCTGGGTGCTTGACCTTACACCTCTACAGTTCCACTGTAAGACCGACTGAATGATGGGGCTTTAAAAGAACTGTAATGTTTTAAAAGAACTCAGCAGGGCTAGAGCCCGGCCGACGGCTGCTGGTCCTGTCTTCAGAACCCGTTCCCAAAGAGACCGGGCGGATCCTGGGGCGGGTCCGGGGACTACCGCCATCCGTTGGCAAAACCGGCCCCGGCGGACCACGCTTTTCCGGGCGCCCCGTCCTAAACGGGGCCGGCGCCGGTGACGTCGTGGTCCTAGGTGGCGGTGGTGGCGAAGGACCCATAGATGGGTCTCTCCGCGAATCGGAGGGGCCTGCGGGAGCCTCCACACGCTTTCGGGGCGACGGGAGGGCCTCTCCCGTTGAAGCGGTCACCTGGTCTGCTCCAGACAGCCGGTTGGCTGCCTTGGCACGTTCCTGGTCTGTCAGGTGTGCCCGCTTTGCCTCACGTGCGCGCCTGTCTGCCTCGTGACGCTCAAGCGTGTCTGCCGCTCGCGAGCTCGCGCTCGCCAAGGTTGCACTAGTCGTCGGGCTGGCAGACAGGGGGGGGCGGCCGACAGCGCCTGGTTACCCCGGTCACGCCGAACCACCGTCCAACCACCGTCCCCTGCCACCGATGGCGAAACCCTTGTGGGGGGCGAGGAGGTTAGCAGCACGGTCTCCTTCGACCGCTCCAGCGAGGAAGGGGGATCCAGGGCTGCCAGATTGGAGTCCAGCGCCTGGTTCGTTGACACAACCGAGAGACCAAAGGACTTCAAGGGCGCTACAAACTGAACAGCGGTCATTTGATCGTTGGGGGGGTCGGACGTGTGGTGGAGATCTTAGCTTTTTTCGGCGTATGATGTTCGAGGGTGGCTCTCCTCGTACAGTGTTTTGGCCTCGTGACAGAGATGTTGCGAGTGGTCTTAATCGAGATAATTCCTTTTTCCTTCACGCACGCTGGGCACGTGCGGTCGTAAGTCGTGTGCGGAGCCTGGTCTTTGCTACAGTTCACACAGCACGCTGTCTCTGAATCGCAAAATTCCGTTGTGTGCTCGGAAGAAGCGCATTTCCCACAGGCAGACTTGTTGCGGCAGTACTGTTTGGTATGGCCAAATCGCTGGCAGTGGAAGCATCGCATGGGGTTCGGAATGAAAAGGCGCGCCTTGACACATGCGTATCCAACGCGTATTTCAGAAGGCAGATCCGGGCGATTGAAAGTCAAGATGCTGTTATTTGTCGGCAGTTGTCCACTTCCTTTTCTAGTGGAGATCCTACGTGCAGCAGTGACGCCGAACACAGACAACTCGTCAGCGATATTTTCTTCACGAACGCCATGCAAGTCAAAGTAGTTGATTATTCCCCTGGATGCATTTTTTTTTTGACAGGTGTGGTGTCACTCGGACAGGTACAGAAACGCTTCGTTTGCCATCCTTGTCCCGAACGCGGTACGTGAATTCGGCTGCAGCCCTCGCACGATCAGCCTCTGCCCCGTTAGCAAACTATACCTCTAACCCTCCGTCACGCAATTTGTCGCACCGAACCACATTTCCAAATCGATCACACCCGTTATTCCGCTCAAACGGCGAGAGAGACGAGGGTCTCGTCTTGTCACTTTGGAAAACCAAAATTCGGGGAGATGGCGAAGATTCCCGCTGCTTCCTGTTATGAACGTGGTCCTTCCCCCTTTCGGGGGTCGAATGGTTTTTTGGTTATAATATGCCATGCAAGTTTCAGTGAAGTTTCGGCACCGGGGCTCCCCACCCACCACGGAGCCCAACTGGTGGACGGCCCAACACTCCCTCGGGAGGTGGTTACCGCCAGGGCTACGCCGGTGCTATACGGGGCGAACGACGCCTCCCACACGGCCAGGGGTAACCGGGGAGACCCCTCCCCGTCCTGACCGTGGTTCAGCGCCGCCGTCCCTTGACCCCGTAAACCGCTGCGCACGGCCAGGCGACCCAAGCGGAGGCCCGCACGGAGCACCCAGTCGCAGCGTGAGCGACAAGCCGCTAGGCCCGTGTGGGGCCCCACGGACCCCCCCGCGTCTCCGGATATCCTGGCTGAAGTGGAGTGTTGGGACGAGCCGCGACTGACCCGCACGACGCGCCCCTCAGCTACCAGGATCCGATCAACCCGGGGACGCGGGCGAGGGGGCACGGCAACCCCGATAAAACGAGGATTAGGAGTGATGAGTGGGTCAGATGCGGGAAAGCGGGTAGTGGGGAGGGAGCGGGCGAGACAAGGAGCGGGAGCTCACGTACCGGCAGGGTCGCTACGCCCTGAGAGGAGCAGCTTGCGCTGTTCACCCGTTACCGGAGCTGGGACCCCGGTGCCCCTGCGAGGTTGACCTGGCTCTACGTATCGTGCTGGAGGTGGGGCTATGGGCTTGTGGGACTCGTCTCAAAATGACCCTGGGATATAATGTCACGCGTGAGCCCACATACTACATTCCATATGCATTGACAGATATCTCACATCCGATTTGTATTGCTTACCATTCATCCGGTGGGTGACAGCACCATTCATCCTAGGCACCCCCGTAGTACCGTCAGCACTGGTTCAATATAAAGATGGTGATGAGAAGACTATCATAATGCCGTAGACTTGAAATTTGAATATCCCCGCTAAATCAAATTCGTACGATGTAAAGCATTGTAATTACTTTTCATTGTAGGTATATTATGGTATTGCCATGATGTCACTTACTTGCATGAGCGGCGGGCGCAAGGCAAGTGTAAATATTCTTTGATACAATCACGGTTGAGCTGTTACGAAGTGTGGGACCAGGTGCCAATATTTACCTATTAACCCGTGCAGCGCTGTATAACTTTGCATTGCTTTGTAGTGATCAGGAACAGAAGGTCAGTTGTATCGCTGGTCCCGATCTGGTCAAGCTCCCGGTCCGGTGGCCAAACAATCTCAAATGATGGGCAGATTCATTGAGGAATGTCATAAATGATATCCGCCCAGTGCATATCAAGCCTAGGCTTAAACGGCTCATTAAACATTAAGCTTTTTGCTCTTAAAATGTTAAACTGTTCTTGTTGTAGATATGTGCGTCTGAGGATTCAAAAATAGCTGCTTGCTCCATGTAAGTGGGGTGAGAAAGTCATGTCCATTCCAACCCTTCCATAATTTCAGAATACACATGCATGTATTATTATATGTTGGGTCCTCCATATGCAACATTATATTTTCCCATGTTTCATCCCCTGGTAACACATGTGCTTGGGCAAGAACCTCTGCATTTTTTCCATGTTTTCCTCCCTGTGGTAACAATTGTGTTTGGAAAAGAACCTCCTCACCCTGATTATTCTGTAATATCAAGAAGGTATTTTGAGGATTTGTAACAGTGAGCACATTGTGCAGTCCAAAATCTTCCTTCCCTTTGTTACATTTTGATGATGTGTCATGGAAGTCTCTCCTATTCATGCATGTTTATTTTATGTATGGCCATGCTATTGGTTTCAGATACATTTGAGGCAATCAATGAAATAGAAAGTATTGGTATTGTGCAGATAAAAGTGTTGTAATGTGTGATGCCCCCTTAAACTGACACACATTTGGACTGTGACTGTGTAGACTAGCATACATTATTTGGTATCATTAGGCTTTTTTAAAAGCCATGCTGCAGATCAGATTTCATCACATAGTGAAGGTGTGTTGCAAATGGAAAGTTGATATGGAATGTTTTCTCTTTGCTACCATTTGATGAAGACAGTATACATGTTGCGCTTCGTCCAATGACATCATTGTATGGTTCCAGCCTAGCCTTCAGCACAGGACTAGACTTGTGGAAGCACAATGTATGAGAAAGTCTTGTCTGCGAAACCAGATGGATCATCAGTATTATTTATTGGTGAGTTGGATCTTCAAGGCCAAGCTAAGTTTGTAGGTTGACTGGTGCTGTATTTGTGATTGGTGATATGTACTTGGTGCTGATATCTGGCAGTTTGGTGGTTTGTTTGGCAAGATGGTCATGGTGATTAGTAAGCAGTATGAGGAAAGGCATAATGATACTGTAGCATGGAGTAAGAAACATTCATTAATGACACTATGATGCATGTCTCCATGTCTCAGGATAGTGGTACATTTTTTACACTATTCTTTTGATGCTGTAGCTCTCATGTCTGGTACAAGATAAGCTGCATCTCTGTGTGTTGGGAGGAGAGAGAGGGGCATCATGGTCATTTGGGAATTGAAATATTTTATGGGATCATCAACCCAAAGCATGCTTCACTTCATTTTTTATGAGGTGCCTCGCACAATATTTTGTTGTAGTGACAGACCACACCCCACATCAGCCATTCACACAGTAAAAGCTATTTTTCCCTCAAGTATTGTATCACATGACGTGAAACTGTGGTCATCTGTACTGACTCATCAATTAATTACCACCACATTCAGTGTGACATGGTCAAACTTAAACTTTACCACTCTCAAAAAGTTTCTTCACATACCATGCCTCACACCATGCCTAGGGGAGTGGTTCATGTATGAGCACAGAACAGACAGTTCAGACATAGATTCCACCAGCCTGTGCTGCTGCCCACAGATGTGGGAGCCAGCTGCTCGCGCCAGCTGCTGCTGGGGTACGTGCTGTACCGGCTGCAGCAGCAGGTGGCCGTGACGTTCGTGCCGAGCGGCGAGCGGCCGGAGCAGCTGCCTGGCCAGCCACTGCTCAGCTGCCGACCGCTGGATGAACAGCCAGGCTGCTGGCAGTCGGCTGCCCAGCTGGCCGCCCAGTTGGAGGCAGCTGTGCCTGCCGCTGGCCCGCCTGCACAGCTGATGGTGCTGGAGGATGCCTCGTGTCTGGCGCATTGGCTTGGTGTTGGCCGACTCTGCCGACTGGTGCAGCGGGTCATGGCCAGAGGTGAGCTGGGATGGTGTGGCAAGTTATGGGTAGGTCAGCATGAGGGTGGAGCTGGTCATGGCCGGAGATGAGCTGGAGCCGTGCAGCAGGTCACAGCTGGGGGTGACCATGGGTGGTGCTACAGGTCACAGCCAGAGGTGGGCTGGGATGGTGGAGTAGGTCATGGTTAGAGGTGAGCTGGGGTGGTGCAGTGGGTCACAGCCAGAGGTGAGCTGGGGTGGTGCAGTGGGTCATGGTTAGGCCTAGTTGGGGTGGTGCAGCAGGTCATAGCCAGAGCTGGCTGGGGTGGTGCAGTGGATCACAGCGAGGGGTGAGGTGGTGTGGTGCAGCGGGCCACAGCCAGAGGTGAGCTGGGATCTGACCCAGCCAGTGGTCTTTGAAGGACGAGTGAGCACTGCCATATGTTAAGTGTTATTTATCGGGTTGACAGCGAGCACAAAGCAGTATTTTTGTCATCTTTTGTTCCTTGTAGTTCATTTGGGCTAATGCTAACAGACATAACTAAAACCTCACCCACCGACTTGTTAAACTGCTCGCCCCCAACATTTCGCGATCATGTGCCGTTCCCCCTCGGACCGCCAGATGGCTCTGACCACGCGCTGTTCCCGCCCCAGGCCACCAGATGGTGCTGGCGGTGGGTGAGAACGCCCGTCGGTGAGGAGTGGCTGGCCCAGCTGCGCCACTACGCAGTCACGTGGTGGCGGTGGAGGGCACGGGACGCGAGGTGGCCATCAGCGTCACCTGCCGCTCCAGGACCGGCAAGGTCGATACGGCTGTACGTACAGTGGGCGCAGAGCGGCGCGCGCGCGGCATAGATCGCCGGGCCGCTGCCACGTCAGCCACAAACGTGGGATGAGGTGTTTTGGGAACTGTTTGCATGGGGAATGCACGTGACAGAAATGGCTTTACAAACAGATGGGCGTTATTAGTGCGTTTGATATGTTCGATCCCCTAATGTCAATCAATCATTCAATCTATGTATTGCTGGAGTAAAAACATGTCGAAAGTTGTGAGAATGCATTCAAAGATTAAATGCTTTGTATCTGTGATGACTTCATGAACGTGCTAGACTGTTCTTGCGGTCAGTTTTCTTGCGGCCCAGTGCCCGTCACTGTTCCACCGGCTTCCCGTGATCGGACAAGAAGGAGCGGGGGTGTCTGGACACCAAGCTGCAGTTGATCTATCCCCCTAATCACTTGTGACGGCCCCCCCCCCCCCCGTGTCTCCGTTAGAAGGAGCGGGTGGTCCTGGACACCGGGCTGCAGGTTATCTGTACCCCTGTCACTGGTCCCGACCCTCCCGCGTCCCCGTCAGGAGGAGGGGGTGATCCTGGACACCGGGCTGCAGGTGACCCGCGTGGAGCCGCGGCGGCCCCAACTCGGCCCCGTGGGCAGCGTCCGGGTCCCGATCCGGCCGCCCAGCTGACCACACCGGCCTCACCACCTTCAGCCTGCAGCTGTCGGAGCAGGAAGCGCCAGGCCCGCAGCCGGCTCGTGCTGCCCCTACCTCAGGTAAGGCCCGGCTCTTGCTGCCCTATACCAGATACCTCCCGGTTCAAGCGCCCTGGATCAGATAAGGCAGGCTGGTGGTGCCCTACCTCAGGTAAGGTCCGGCTCGTGCTGCCCTATCACAGGTCAGGCCCGGCTCGTGCTGCCCTACCTCAGATAAAGCCCGGCTCTTGCTTGCCCTATACCAGATACGGCCCGTTTCGAGCTGCCCTGGCTCAGATAAGGCCCGGCTCGTGCTGCCCTATCTCAGATAAGGCCCTGGCTGCCCTGGCTCAGATAGGCCCGGCTCGTGCTGCCCTATCTCAGATAAGGCCAGGCTGGTGCTGCCCCAGCTCAGATAAGGCCCGGCTCGTGCCCGCCTCACCTCAGGTGGTCTCCAGTGGCAGCACTGCTCCGCTGGCAGATGCCCTGCCAGCGCCGCAAGGCCGTTCGGCGTTTGCCCGGACGGGGCGTATTAATGGATACTTTCCACAGACATGCCTTCAGCATTACTGACGGCCCCCGCAAACGCGGTGCGGCCCAGGCTCGTGACGTAGATCGACGCCACGTCCGTCCACCCGGCCGCATCTCGGCCTTTTCCGACCGGCCGTTGCTGAGGTCTGCTGCGTAGCACACGCACGTTCGCAGGTAGATCAGGGGCGTGGTTTCATCAAACCAAACTACGAAACGCGCATTTGTTAATCACCACGTGCAAGTGAATGGACCGGAAAAGGCCAAACAATGTGGGTCGTAATCATCCTCCGAAAGGACTTGCAAGTACAAATCCAAGCTGTTTATGGAGCGCTTGTTCATGCGTGGGGAATCAGAAGTGCGCTGGTGGTGGCTTCTTTTGAAACCAGGCCCTGTGTCGCCGTAGCTATTCGTGTTTGATGTGCCGGGCAAGCTGAGCAAAGACAACGTGCGCGTAAGCTGATAAGGTTCAGCATCCACTCTTGTTTTGATAGTGGTGGAATCATTTTTCGGCCATTAAGGGACGTTATTAATCGAGACTAATATTTGGATACGTATATGTCAGAGAGCGTCATGTTTTGCAAATTCAGATTGTATAGTTTTACCAGCTGTTCTCCCTCAATGCTTTCAATATGCCTCTAGTTTTGGCTTTATATGGGTCCTATTGCAGTTCGTACCTTATGTGGTCGCTGCATTACACCAGTACGTTAAATCATGGCTTATGGCGTCATCAGCCGAACAAAAAGTGGCATAAGGGGCATGTCCTTTGTCCTGCGCCTGCCGAGCAGCCTGTGCAAAACGGCCTTTTGGAATTAAAATATTTTGGGCAGTTAAAATTAAAAACCTTGAGTTAGCCCAATCCCTTAAATGCTTCTTTGGCGTTGTTGTATTCAGTAAACTTTGAAACACTTGCGTGGTTGTGAAGAGTTGGTTTCAATCAATGACAGTTGTAATTGCACCGGCAGTCATGTTTCACTATGACAAGTTGTATTTCATGTGTATGCTATGGGCGTCGCTCATTTCTAACCTTTTGTTGCTTGTTAATCCGCCATGGAAAACGAGAATGCCCCGTTGGTGGCTATTTCTTGACTTAGTGGAGCGGCCCAACATTTTCCACGCATTTTGGGGATCACGGTCTGTTAGTTGCGTCGTTGTTGCCTTTACAACAGGACGGCACTGCTCTCAACGTACATTTGTAGCGCGGAGTCTGGCTGTTGTGGCTTCCGTATCAATCTGACTGCCGTGGTTTCCGTGGCAGTCTGGCTGCTGTGGCTTCCGTGGCAGTCTGGCTGCCGTTGCTTCCGTGGCAGTCTGGCTCGAGGTCGCACTGGAGTCGTCCAACGTTCTGCCCGCAGGCCGGAGCAGGGTCGGGAGGAGGCCGGGTCGGGAGGTCAGATCTTCTACCAGCCGGACGCCGCCGACGACTGGGACGAGGAGGATCCCGACGACGATCTGGACGTGTGACCTGACCTGGCACGATCCCGGGCCTGGGATGACCTCGGCCAGGTCGGGAGGAGCTGTTAAAGGTCTTTGCCACCTCCAGTCCGAAGATCAGCCGAATGTGAACTAGGCCTGGCCTGGAAGGTGACCGGGGTCTGACCCGGCAGACACGACCCGCGGCGTGACCCCGGCAGCGCCTGAGCCTGTGTGACCGCTGTGGGTCTGTCAGCGGATCTCCGTCTGCGTCCGGCTCCGAAGGACCGGACCCGGGCGACGCATCTGTCGAGGAAACCGTGCCGTGCCTTCCCGTGCAGGGGAGAATGGCGTGTGTAAACTGACTGATTAATGAAGTCCGCAGAGACGCACAGCCGGGCCGATCAATGTCGGAGCGGCTCCGAAGACTGGTCTTTACGGGTCCGAAGACCGGTCGATAAGTTTGTTGTCTGACTTCAAAGATGATAAATTTGTTTTGCAATTACTGTGCGAGTGTTAAGAACATCAACCACTGCGACCCTGGGTCTCTGTCAACGCGCCTCTCTGAGGTCTCCGACGAAACCCACGCACTGCGCGCTCAAATATTGTATTGTTATTAGTATATACATTTTGTTACACACATAATTGTCGCTATAATCAACAACGCTATGTCAATCGAGCACAGGCGCGTCCAGCCAATAAATATATTCTAGACTCGAGCGGGGCCGCGAGGCGCCGCCCCGGCGGGCTGGCCGCCCCGGCGGCGGGCGGGCCCGTCCCGCGCTCGGCCCCCACGTTTGTTCGATGCGACCCGTCGCCGCGGCGTCGGTCGTACTAGTCTCGCAGGTTTTGATTTCTCGGCGGATTCATCGTGGTGGGGCGGGCGGGCCGGCGACTAGCGGACCTCGGCGCGAGCGAGCGGGCGCGCGCTGCCGCCCGGTGAGCGAAGGAATGCGACTCGCGACCAAAGTCAACAACACTGGATCACTTCTCGACTGGGCAAAATAGTCTGTCTCGCTATGTACAGCGGCGCGCGGACTCGCTTATTGCCGGGCGTCGACGGGCCGCCGGCGCCGCTATCACAAGCACTCTTTGGCCGGCGGGTGCGGCGGGCGCGCGCGCCCGGGAGTCGCCGCCTCACCGCGCCAGCCGGTCCATGGCGGCGCGCAGGCGCTGTTCTCCCATGCTCGGCACCAGCTTGACCATCAGCTGCTGCACGAACTGGTCGCTGATGCCGGGCGCGCTGCGCTCGGCCAGCTCGAAGGCGTTGCGCAGCTCGTCGATGGCGTCAGTGCGTTGCGCCAGCGAGGACGAGTCGCGCGCCCGGTAGCTGTTCCGGTGTCGCCGCTGGAGCTGCCGGCACGGTCGCAGTCGGTCACGCACCGGCCGCCGCTATCACACACAGTCATGCACAACGGGCGTCAAGAATGCCCCCGGTCCAGAGGGAGCGCATGCCGTTACTCCGCTGACTTCGGCCTAGACGCGGCCAAGTAATGAAAGCCGTCGGGTCAACAACGCCGCTTCCATTGGCATCATCAATCCCCGTGTGGAAACTGAGCCCCTGCAAGTCGCCTGCACTGGGAAACAAAGCCCGACCTGTGGCGCAGTACTTGCACCCCCAACCCCTCGCTTCGCCGGCCGCCTGCGGGTGTACCGACCTCGGACATGAGCGGGTGGATGACACCGCTGAGCGTGCGGCTCCGGTTCGGGTGCTGGCTGGTGGGACTGACGACCTTGCTCGGACTGCCCGACGAGCGGCGTCTGTTGCCGGCCGCCGGCGTCGCCGGCTCGGCCGGGCTCTCCGCCACCGACCGGCGGTGCTCGGTCGGCGGCGGCGGCGCGCCGACGTGGTAGGCCGCGTCTGTCCGACATGGGTGGCGCGTCACGCGCGTCGCAGCCCGACACGGGCCATGCCGCCGACACAACGGCGGGCGACAGCGGCGGACAGCACGGCGACGACACCCGACAACGCAGGCAGGTCGCGACGACCGCTCTGACCGACCACAACAGATCACACGACCGCGTCGTCCGCCACCTGCGACATCTCATCACGTCCCGAACTCAACACGGGTCAACCGGTGTGCAACCGGCTGCCAGCTCTACCCCGCACGTGGTCTGCGGCGCCCCGCCGCGCCGGAGCCGGCCGCGCCTCGGGTGACCCCCGGTCGATGCCCCGGCGGCGCCACTGACCGGACTGCGCGGCGGCGGCGTCTCCTTCTCCGGAGACCGCGGCGTCGGTGTCGTCAGCGGCGAGACGTCCGGCAGCGCCGAGCCGTTCTGCAGCTGCGGAGGGGACGGACCGCGCGGGTTAGGGGGGACTGGACGGGACGCTGCAGGCCGGAGGGGGAGGGGGTGAGGGGGGACACAACGCAGCTAGATCCACCCGGGACGGCGACACAACCCAGCGAGATCCACAGGAAAACGGTACGCACACCGCCACGCACGGGTCACGGGCCTGGCTCTGCGGGCGAACGCAGCTGCCCGGCGGCCTGACATACCACGGTATCTGACAGCTCCAAGTGATGGCCCGGCACCCCGTCACTGACCTGCGTGATGACCTGGGGCGGTATCCGGTTGTTGTGGTTCATGCTGTCGATGTCGCGGTCGGCCTTGCCGCCGTTGTCGACGCTCGTGTCCAGCTCGGTCTGGCGGCGGCCCGACGACGGGCCGCGGATGGTCGGCACCCACGGCTCGTCCAGGTCGGAGTCGTTCCGCGACCCCTCCCTGCGGGCGATCGGCGCCGGCCGGCGTCAGCACGGCCGGTGACTCCAGCGCAGCGGAGGGCGTCCCACAGGCGACCCCGTCGCGACTGAGGACATCACGTCGACTATCCCGCCCTATCCGGTACGCATGGTACCGCGCTCATTGCACCCCGAATAAGTAATGATCCAATCATCGACATGGGCCACAACCGACACGCATGGTCGCTGCACGACCGGGGTTTGGACCGCCTCGCGCGGCGGCCCCATAAGAGGCGACAGCCGTCACACGGCGCGCTCTCCTGCAGCCGCGCCGTCGCAGCACTGTGCCGCCCTCTGGCGGGCTGCGGATCGAGACGGGTCAGGCTGCAGGGGGCGGGCGGGCCGCGGCACCGAACCACGAGAGGGTCGGCCCGGCGCGCCGCCGGTCGGCTGCCGGCCACGTCTCACACACACACTGAGTGAGTCCCAGCGTACGTCATGTATCCGCGCATCGCCAGAACATGAGCCAACCACGCCTCTTAACGGGCCCCACGTCAGTTCATTAGTCATGACTCAACGACGATGGTTTGCATGTTCCACTGTGCAAACAGTCGGACAGAAATGGGCCAAGGGGTGGCGAACGTGTCCGCTTTGATTGCACGTAAGTAGCAGAGTGTTAGCTTAGCTCCAGACGAATAGGAATACAAACGAGTGCTGAAGTTCCGAGTGTTCCGGCCCCTTGCGCACTTCATGCCTGCCCCATCAATTGCATAATCTACGAAGATCATTAAAAGCTGGTGAGAATTTCGCACACTAAAAGACATTGTAGCGCGATCTTCCCAGAATCATTCAATCCTTTGCAGTGCAAGAACATGCGTAACCAGCCAATGCAAATACAACTAAAAGCCTATTTCGTACCAGATAATTCAAGATTAATGGCCATAATGTGCTCTAAACCGTTCAATTCGTCACACGTCGCAGGTAGCCACGTTCAGATATCGATTACATTAATTAAAGCAAGCCATCAGCGGCAATCGATGGCAGGATAAAACTGACAGAGCCGCTGAATTGCTCGAGCGAATAACGAGCATTTCACTGGAAAAGCTTATGAAAATGTTCGTCTCAGAATGTAAACGCGGTTTGCGTTGTTAATCAGGCTTGGCGAGCGATAATGGTGATTTAAAAGATCACTTAGATCATCCATCGCTGTCTAATTGTGTCGACGTCAACAAATCACTGTCGTTTTGGCTGTTCAGATCAGTGACATTTTCCCAGTGTGTGCCGATGCGGCGCGGTGCTCGAGAGCCACGATACTTAACATTAGATTGGCGATTAAAAGGAATTTAAACCACGACGCCAGAATCACGTGACCGAAGCATGCACATGTCCTGTTGCTGGGCGCAGAACACGCAAAAAAAACAACCACAAGTGACGTGATTACGTCATTACGTATGCAAGGGGCTCGTTCATCCAACGTGCCGGAAATACGCCCATACAACTTCTCCGAATCGGTTTGAAATAGGGCGCCTAACCAATGACCTAGCAACCGGTTGAGGCCAAGCGTAGGAATGCGGTTATCTCCACCGCGGGCGGTTACACCCATTCACGACATCGGCGAACCCTCGTCGCCTGTAGGTTGAAGTCCCGCGCAGCTTTATCCTTCCTGCACAGACTACAACGTGGCCCAATATCGGCCGGATGCATCGGGTTGCTCCATAACCAGCGCAGCCACTTATGACGCGAGAGTCACGCGCGCGCCCACACAGCCACCCGCCCCACCGCGTGTAGCGCTGGTCGCGCGTTGCGGCGATGAGAACGTGCGGTACTGAGTCCCTTGCTACTCACGAGTCGGTCTCCTCGCTGCTGTCTGAGTCGTCCTGCTTGGTCATCTTGTACTTCTTGTGCCGGTCAATCAAGTCGATCAGGTACGAAGTCTTCTTGGCCTTCCGGATGAACGGCAGCCGCAACAGCTCCTTGGCTGTCGGCCTCTGCGGACAGGGACGGGCGTGACGGCTGGGCGCGGCCTTCGCTGCGCCGGGCGGTTTCCACGGAGCTGGTAACGGCCATCGCGCTTCAGTCGCCCTCAAAGCGAAAGTTGCGTTGGCTAATGCTCACGCACGCGCACGCCTCAATCCCCGCTGTGGCGCTGACGCCGCGAGAAGGCAGAGAATGCCGAAACGCGCAACGTTTCCACCACGCTTGTCGGCGAGGTCACGGCGTCGGACAAAAGAATGCCTCGTGGACCAATACGGCAGCGTTGCATAACGTTCCACCACCGCGCCAAGACCGGCCCGACTGCCGAGCAGTCGGATCCGGAGCAAATCCGCCCTGTGTCCGCGACCAGGCCCACGCCTCTAAACTCGTCCGGGACGGCGGCGCGGCTCATGCGGTGCAGACAGTCTCC